AGAGAGAGAGAGAGAGAGAGAGAGCGAGAGAGAGACTGGAAGGGGAATGTGGATAACATTTCCGTCTGTGTGGCGTGACATCTATCAGAAGATGACCTTCGACCTCTCCTGCTTTCTGCCCTTTCTGCTGTTTCCTCAAACTCAATGGCCTGTTTTGTATGTTTATTCCAACATTTATCTCAAACTCACTGGCCTGTTTTGTATGTTTATTCTAACATTTATCTCCTTGTATATTATGTTGCTAGACTCTGACGTTAGAAATTCTTTTATTTTTAAATAATGAATAGGTCTTTTGGGTCATTCAAGCCCAGTTAGGTTACTTATTAGATCTAAACAATAATTTTTTTTAAACTTTGAAAAATACTACAGTAGTAAAAGACCAAAACAATACAATACAAAAACAACAAAAAACACACACCCTCCAACCCCCCCCCCCCAAACAACAACACCACCCCCACCCCCAAAATAGCAAAAACAACACACACAAAACAACAACAAAAACCTAATAAAAACGTCATGTACATGAAAGACTAGGCTAGAGTGTTTGCTCAGAAACGGGGGAAAAAAGGGAAAGTACATATTATCACGTACATTACAGAGTTCCGAACCCCCGTGCAGGTGGTCGTAATTCCTCCTGTACGGGTGACTTGATCTCATTCGGAAATGTCCTTGTAATTGAATTGGTCTCTGTGTGAGAGAAAATGAGCTTCGCATCATCGACGGTGAAAATACCAAATCGCGTATGTTATCTACAAGAACAAAAGTTTTAGTAGAGGTTTTACGCTCTCGCAACTGCACAAGGTCATATGAGCGCCAAGTGGTGGATGTCAACAGAGAAGTCCTTACAGTTTACAGGGAATCGAGCTTACTCTTCTCACCTCTCTAGCTTTAACAGCACAAAGTCTGCTGCGACTATCAAGGCACCCCGGAAATAGCGGGTTACAAGAGTGTGACTAACATACAAAAGAGGTAGAGAAAAATGACGATAGTAAGGATTAGGAAAGAAAAAAGCAGCAGTTCCCTGTCGCAGTTCAGGCAAGGTTATGAGCATGACATTAATGAATCAGCCCATTTACAATTACAATTCTACTGTGCGTAAGAAATC